TAATATGACATTGAGTTGAATCTACAAATCTTTTATAATTACCAATCACTTCCATAAACATTAACACTAGGTTTACGGGACGCGTCATTTTTACGCATTTCGAGTTCAAATATCTTTATTAGTTTCTTTTTTGTTTATCTTTCCTTTTTTGTAATCTATTATCATTTATATAATTGATTTCTAAGTGTGCTTGAATCCCATAATTATCTTTAATATCTCAATTGCAATTTAAATGGTTACATGCGTGGTTATTTAATTTTTTCATAATAATTGTGTAAGCTTTATTTTTATTATATCGTGAGGCAAATTTAATCTGTTCTGATAATTCATTTTTTCTTTCTTTACTTTCAACTTGTTATTTGGCGTAATTTTTTGGTGACCCTAAATAAATCATTTCTTCTAATTACAGATAAAATGACATTTTAAATTTATTTCAATGTTGCTATTCGTCTTCAATATTTAGTATATTGTTATTTTACTTTTTTCTACATAATTGTTTCTTTAAATTAAGTGTATTGGGATTTTTAAAATTAGAGATTGGTAGCCAATTTAGTAACCAGGCAAAAGGGTTGCTGTTTTTTTGTGTCCTAGATTGAGTAAGTTCGATACGATTCAATCCTATCCATCCATCTGTTTATAAATTTCTACGTGGTTTCTGCAGTTGATGTTTTTTTAATTAATATGGCTCCAAAGAAGATAAATAAATATTCTAGGCAACATTTAAATCGAAAGATTAAAGAAAGTGTAGATTGTGAAATAAGATTGCTTCTAGAAGCTTCTGGTGATTTGTATTCTGTAAATCAGAATCCATCTGTAAGTTCTGGAAAGCTTGAACTACAAAAATTTGAAAGTTCGGACTGTGATATAATAGCTTCTGATGATGAAATAAATGAAGATTCTGGCTCCAAAACTGATTCTGAAAGTTCTGACTCCATTGAGGAAAACACCATTTGTGCCAATGCTAGGAATGAGACTTTTAGTGGAGAGTTTAAAGAAATAATACTTCGCCACCGTCTAGAGAATAATGTTATCACTGATTTGTTGAAGCTATTCAATCGTCATAACGTGGATAAGCTCCCTAGAGATACTCGGACATTTCTGAAAACGCCACGTAGTACCAAGATTAAAAGTATAAATGGTGGAGATTATATACATCTTGGTATTGAAAATGGTTTATCCTATATATTTGCAAAAAAATTAGATGTTAGCAAAACTTGCAGAATCAATTTATTTGCAAATGTAGATGGATTACCCATTTCCAAAAGTGGATCTAGTCAGATTTGGCCCATTCTCATTAAAGTATGTTTTGAAAATTTTTCTGATATTTTTACAGCTGGGATATTTCATGGCAAACAAAAGCCAAATTCGTCAAATGAGTTCGTCAAACCATTCGTTGATGAAATAAAAAAATTGTGTAAAGATGGTTTGAATATCCAAGGCAAGTTAATAAATATTGCTTTAGCTGGTCTCATTTGTGACACTCCAGCCCTAGCCTTTATTATGAACACGAAAGGTCATAATGGGTATTCTTGTTGCCCCAAATGTATGGTCGAAGGGGAGGTTATTGATGGAAGGGTTGCTCTTCTGGGAGAGAATTGGCCTCTTAGAACGAAAGAATCATTTCGAGCTTATCTGGATGATGAATTTCATAATTCATAAACTTATTTTGATCAACTTGACCACTTTAATTTAGTTACCCAGGTACCTTTTGATTATATGCACATGGTATGCCTTGGTGTAGTTCGAAAGTTTCTTAACTTTTGGTTAAAAGGAGATTTATCTTGCCGTTTACCTTCAAGGAAGGTAAATGAAATTTCATCTGCTCTCTCAAGAGCTCAACTGCCAGCTGAATTTCCTCGTAAGCCGAGATCATTGAAGGAAATAGATCGGTGGAAGGCAACAGAGTTTCGGCAATTCATTTTATATACAGGACCGGTCATTTTGCATGGTATCCTAATGTTTATTTAAATTTTATGACGTTACATTCTGCAGTTTTGATTTTGTGCCATAATTCGCTAAGTTCCATGCTGAATTCTTATGCAGAAACTTTATTAAAATCATTTATCGAAACATTCATTAAAATATATGGCGAAGAATTTGTGTCATTTAATGTTCATGGATTGATCCATTTGCCTTCAGACGTTAAAAGATTTGGATGATTGGACAAGTTCAGTGCCTTTCCTTTTGAAAGTTATCTCCACAAATTGAAAAAACTTATTAGAAAATCAGAAAGACCATTGCAACAGCTACATAGAAGAATAGCAGAGCTCACTTTGAGTAGTGCAGAAATTTCTTCTACAACTTATTTTAAATTAATTAAAGAACAAAATGAAGGGATTACTACCAACATTTGCTCTGGACCGCATTATTCAGAGCATTATTCCGCATTATCCTGACAGGTTCAAAACTGCAAAATAAAAGGCCAAACAATTGTTGTATGCTAAATGATGGTTCCATCGTGCGTATCGAAAATTTCAGCTTTTCTCGTGATAAGAATCTTTATGTTGTTGGGCGTCAGTACGATTCCAAAAGAGACTTTTATACAATTCCATGTAATTCTTCTCTTTTGAACATTTTTTTTGGTTGATTCGTTATTGTGCGTAAAATCTTGGCACATTAATGAAATTAAAGTTAAATGTTGTTTACTTCATTATCGTCAAAAGGATATTGTTTTTCCCATATTGCATTTAACTTGGAATTTTTATTATTAGTTTTTGTAAATAAGTTATATTTCATTATTTTGTGTTACATGTATATATATTTGGATCAGTGAAAAAAATTGAGAGTTTTTATCTGCCCCCAAATTTTAATTCCTTTAAATGAAAGTTGAAATTCTATAAATTGTAATCTTTAAGAAATTTTTTTTTATCTAGACTAGATGTTTCATTTATTTTTTTCTGATATTTAGTTGTTTTACAAAACAAAATTTCAATTAGCAATTTTAAATATCAAATATTTATAAAATCCAGAGTGCTAACCTTCTTTGTTTTGTATTAATTGCATTTTTATATATTTATATGAGTTATCTTTATCATGTGTTTTTTAATTCAAGTAAGAATTTAACTGTAGTTATTAAATTTAAATTATTTTATTCTTAAATAATAGTTGTATTATAATTGGTTATTTCTTAGTTTGTTATGTATATAGTGTTTTGCATTATGTATAGAGTTACTTATGTATATATTTTATTTTGAATGCACACATTTTTTTAAAAATTGTATGCATTGTCTTGATTAAATTGACTGTATTGTCTTGATTAGATTTTTTCTACTTGAAAAATTTGCATTAGATGTTCTACTTATAAAATGAAATATTTTGTGCCACGTCTATAGATAAAATGTATGCAATTGTAACATTTGAGGATGGAGCTTGCGAGCTTATTCCGAAATTATGGATTCATGGACAAAAATGTTTTTGGCCACCTTCTACAACTAAGTCAGATGTAGTGTCTTGTGTCCCCAACAGAGGATTGGCAGCTGCACTCAATTGTAGTTTTAGGAAGTGCAAGTGAGTTATTTTACAATTATTCTAATTAATTTAGTATTAACGAGTTTAGTATTAGAGCCACAAAAAATGACTTTTCATTTGCTGCAATGAATTCAGTTTTTCTCCTTACATGATTGATTGTTCAAAATCTGTCTCAAAATTAATAAAAAGTTGCAAAGTTAATGAACTATTATATTAAATTTAATATGGCTATCGATTTTAACTGATTAAAATAATTACATTATTTTCACTATCTCAATAATTCATATTTTTTTAAAAATAATTCTTGAATTATATTTACGTTGATAACATATTTTAGTTAAATTTAATATTTAAAAGAATCATATGAAAACGATCAAAATGTCTATATGTGTAACTAATTTTATTCAGAATAGTGTCTACATATTGTCATTTTAATTTCATTATTTCAAGAGCAGTCTAATAGAGTTTCTTCTGCTTATTGCTTAGTTTCATATCTTAGCCATTTCCTGATTGTATGTGTCACCTTTGGCCTTTTGCTTACACACCCACAAATTAATGAATTAGTGAGATAAAACAGTACTTAGGAAAACTCTTCAAAAAACGGTTCTCAATATCTGTAATGGAAATAAAAAATTATTTTATGTTTACTTTAAAATTTAGATGTTTCATCCTTTCACTTTTTTATTTACTTTATTTTACTTTTATTCGTAATCATAAATTAAGGCATTACTTAGTTGCTTTTTTATTTACTTTACTTTAAAATTATTAATGAGATTTATTATATTTTATTATTATGCTTGAATTAGTTTAACATTTAAACATAAAGAGTTTTTCAGCACAAAAAATAAAAAAATGTTACACAAAAGTTAAAACTTGCACGTACAAGCTCATAAAAATGCTTTAAATGGTAGCATATTTATTTAACTACGTTATTTCAGTATTGTCTCATTAATTTTTTCTCCTACATTTTAATATTTCAAGAAGTACTTTTTTAAAAAAAATAATTTTCTTTTTATTAGAATCATATGAGAAAGGAAGAAGAAATTCGGATCCTGCAGATTGTGGGAGAGGCAAGAGGAAGAGAAATTTCTCGACAATGATTCTTCGGATTCTCCATCGGATGACACAGAGTCTTTTGAAGACGCTTCCTCCTGTACTGAGAGAATTGAATTCTAATAGTCTAACTTTTGAATGAAAGGCCTTTGGATGTGATAAATTTTCCCTCAACGTCATCTTTGACTTTTACAGGAGAAGGATATTTACAAGGTGATTATTTATAAAATTAATAAAACTTTGAAATGCAGCTGTTCAAAGTAACCAGGGTCTTAAAAAGTATAGATAGACCTTGAATTACAATCTTCGCTTGTCAATTGCTCAAAAACAGGCACCCATTTTCAAGACATGCCATATATGAATAAGAAGAAAACTTAAAGAAATAATGAGAACACTTTTTCATTCATTTTTAGTATTCTCATTTGGTTTTTAAGTAGATTTATTAATTTAGCATTATTTCTTTTCTTATATGCATGGGTAAATACATTTTAACTTGAAATATCTCTTTCACATATTTCAGTCTAAGAAGTAATATATAGTAAGTTAATATTGTCTTTTTTCAGGTTCTGAAGTTCGACATTCACAGTCATCCCTAATGACCAAAAAATCTGCTAACTCTTCTGGTAAGTTATTGAATCTGTACGGAGAATTTTTTTTTTTTTACTAAGTTTAAAGCTCTTGTAAATATATTTGTCATCATTCGCTTCTTGCTATGTGAAGCTGATTTAAATATATGTGTTGATATTTTAATTCTTAGTTTACTTTTTTTATTTATTTAGAATTAAAACTTCTGGTATCTAAATGTTTCATAATATGTATTTCTAAATGTTTCATAACATGTATTTTTTGATGGGGTTTAAAAAAATATTCAATGATTTTTAAGATAAAATATTTGGTGATTAAAAGGCATATGAAACTTAATTGTAGTTGATCTACATATTTTCTCCATTATTAAATGTTCGTTAACATTTTTATCTGATAATTGTGTTTAAAACTTTGAATTAATATTTACATATTTGTCTTTTTCCAGATTCTCCAAGACCTCGTTCTTTTACAAGGACTGATGTTTCAAACTCATCTTGTAACTTCTATTTTGTGTCTTCTTAAGAATTCTTCCATAGCAAAAAGTTAGTTGCTCCAATACGCAATAAATATAATACCACATTTTATAAAATTCCTATCCTTGGCCTAAAATGGGTTAAATCAAGAAATTTGTAATCTATATTTCTTCAGGAAAATGTGTATATAAGTAAAAACTTAGCAAGCCAAGGGAAAAATGTCACATAATGTATCAAAGAGTACAAGACACATTTACAGTCTTAAGTAAAACAGGGTGCGTAGCGTTTGTAAAAAGTATTTAAAAGTGCTTTTTTTGGGGATTTCGTATATAAAAGCTTTTGAAGGTGCTTTTTTCATCTAGCGTTTTTAAAAAGTGCTTTTTTTTCACGAATAATTTTTTTTCCTTCAGTGATATCTGGTGGATCCCATGCATTTCACGAAAAAAATGGGGTGTTTGCTACGCAATCATTCACGCGGACTTCCTGTCGTACCCACGTTATGACTTGCGCATGCGCGCACACTTGAAACCGAAGCCCGAGTGCTCCAATTCGGATGGAGAATATCAGATCCTCATGAAATGTTTTTCGTTTTAATTTAATTCTTATTTATTTTATTTTGCTTCTAACACTTTTTTGACGTAGGGGGGAAAGGGTGCTTTTGTTCTGTGTTCAGGATCAAGTTGAATTCACTCGGTGATGTGGGAAAGTACTGATTGTTTCGATTTACGTCCTTTTCTTTTTGGTTTTTTTTTTTTAACGCTAAAACTGTTTATAAAAAGTTTTTATTTTTCAATAATATCATTGATTGAATATGCATTTTTTGAGTGCTTGAAAATTTTTGTAAAGTACTTGAAAGGTTTTTAAAAAGTGCTTACTTTTGATTCAAAGATTTGGCTACGCACCCTGTAAAAGAAAAACAGTTTAATTTTTAAAATATCTTATTTTATTTTTTTAATGGGTGTTCTACGGTCCCTTTTGTGTGAAATTAAACTTATTAAGCACACCCAGAAGGTTCAAGGGGAAATGTTAGAGCTTATTCTACAAAAGATGGATTCTCGTAATGGTATGGTTCTCTATTTTCATGCACGAATTTCTTATAACCCAAATTGCCAAATAACCAAATTATAACTGCATAATCTTTTTATGCAGTTGATATTTACGATAAGCTATTTTCAAAATGAAATTTTGTTTCCTTTAAAATAAATTTTTAATAATTGTATCATTTACATGTCAATTTGCTTTTTTAAAATATTGTTATTTGTATAATTTCTTATTCGTTTCAGATACTTAAATAATTTTTTTTCCATTTTATTTCTGTACTTAATTTCTGTATATTGTACATATTTATTGAATTCCCCATAAATTAGATGGCTTGGTTTGAAAAGTTGTTAAAGAATGCTTTTAAATATAATCTTTGATAATATTCTTCAATATTAATTTTTTTTTCCTCAGTACATCATGACATCAAGTTTATTTTGAATTGAGACGCGAGCAACACACTTCATCTTGAATTTATTAGTATCCTTCGTGCATTTTCTTCAGTTACACCCTCAATACATCAAAGATTTGGAATTCCAGTAAAATGTGACTTTGTGAAGCTTAATTCTTTGCTGGATAATTTGAAATTGAAGGCTGAATTGGTAATTGATTTTTTAAGCTATAAGTGAAAACCTTTATATGATCATATTTTCTCTAGCATTTAAAGTCATAAAAAATTTTCTCCCCAATAATAAAAATTCGAGCGGAGAGTTTTTACAAAACTTCCTTTATCAAATTTATAACTTAATATATAATCAGCAAATTTGCTTTTAAGTATTTTTAGTATAATGAATAGATCAATTATTTTCTAAACATAAGGTATAAGGTGATTGATTTTTTTAATTTTAATAATTTTTTCTTCTTCTTGTAGTCTGCTAGATTGCAAAGTCTTGGTGGAACCTTGGTGGAGCATACAAGACGAGCACTTCGTCACATCATGCCTGATGAGGTTGCTGAACTGTACAGTTGGGTGGGCAATAATGAAAAAAAAAAGATTTTTTGGTTGCAGAGTGTCAGACGCAATTATTGGTAATATTTAACCTCTGTTTATATATATATTTATTTATTCCATTTGTAGCTTGACAGTATATAGTTAAAATTTGAGTTGCTAAAGTTATCTTTCCAGAAAATGAATCTTAATTACTAAAAGTATCTATACCCAGTTAAATGGTATTATTATTAAATTTAGTTTTCAAATAAACATCTATAAATAGCTTTTTTTTTACTTTTCAATATACTATAATTTTAGTATTCCATGAATTTTCATTGAGCTTATAAATTATTCCAAACACATTATAAAGTGCGTAATTGTTTGAAATAATCTTGTTATTAGTATCGCCATCTTCTTTTCCAGTCACAGTAGTACGGTAATCATACGATACTTCAATTATCCAACTCTTCTTTTGACTTGCACTTTAAAATATTATGATCCTTGTTACATGTGTTTGTACTAACAGCTTTATCATTATTACAGTTGATGTTATTAGATAATTCTTGTGACAATGAATCAAACATGTTTATCAAATCATTTTATTTTCTGTGAACTAGTATATTGTTACGTATGCAATTAAAAAAACTATTCATTTTCTATTTAGAGTGATCATTATTAATTAAAAAAATTATTAAAAAAGCAGCTTAAGGTCACCCGATAACATTTTCCCTACATATCTCTTGTTCTGAGAGTGACAGAAATTTGGGCTTCTACTAAGTTATTTTTAGATACCTTTTAAATAGGTTCTGAAATAATTTTATGTTTATTCATAAAACTATCTGCTGGTTTGTTTATATTTTCTTTTTGTTATGTTTTAGAGGCTGTTTGTAGTGTTTTCACTAACACTAAAGCAGAGATGCCAACTGCTCCGGACAAGCCAAAATTATTAAAAAAATGGTAAATAACTACTAAGTAAATGTTGCAAATATTTGACTATTTTTGGTGGCTTTTTAAAAAGTATAGTATCACATGTGCATTAAAAATTGGTGATTTGTATAAGCCGACGAATTACTTGGAAATAGTGGTGGATAAAAATCTACTAAATTGAATTAATTAAACCAAGAATCACAATTGATAAACTACCACTTTAAAATATATATTTGCTGTCCGAAGCAAGTTGGCATCTCTGCTAAAGTGAATGAAGTTGAAAACGTTATTAAAGGCTGGTAAAGAAATAATTGTATGAATAAAAGTTTTACGTGTCTCGAATCACGCCACATTACGTATGTGACATTGTTTCTTTTTTTCTTCTTTAGATTCTCATATTTATTTGCATACATGCTGCAAGAAATACATAAATCCTTAAAACAGGTTACTTTTTATATCTTCACAAAATACTGATTTAAGTATGCCTTCAGCTAATAAATCTGTAGTAAAACATGCCAACAGCTGTTTTAGTTTGTATATAAAAGCAGATAATTATCAAGTTTTTTTCGTTTTTTAAAAATTGCATCATTGACACAATAAAGTATGTGATCCATAAACATCTATGCTGAGTTTTTGATAAAATAGTCACAACTTCATTTAAACTATGTAAAATATTAAAAAATATTTTTAGTAAATTTTGCAGAGGAATGCATAAAATTTTTTTTGCAAATTGAATAGTTAAATTGATAATACGAATAATTTAAATATTAATCCAAAGTTCTCAGCATTAAGAGCAACGTTAAAAGGAAAATTATTCATTATTTTATTATGAGATCTTTAATATATCTACTACATTAAACAATATGAGCAATCGTAAATTACAAGGTTCACGAAAGATTCAACAAGGCTCATAATTAAATTAGAAATATTCTTTGAGGAAAACTAACACTAAGTGAGAGACTTATAACCTTGCTTGGTGTTCGAAAGGTACATTTAATTAGAATTTTTAATAATGGCCAAATTTTTATTCCAAACAATAGAAATGTGAAATCCAATAAACTTGCACATTTTTGGATTAAAATTATATATTATTCTTTTCCTTAGATACGTTTGTTTTTTTTACTTTTTTACTTCCTTTTGCCTTACTAATTTCCCTAAAAAAATAGTTGAGGAATAGCCCATTTTTCTAGGAAAATTAGTAATGCCAATCGAGAGAGAGTGTAATACAAATTAAAAACTATCACACATTTTTTTTCATTTAGAAAACATTTTTCTAACCTATAATTCAGTAAATTTAAAAGAAAAACCTTTTTACAAAGTATTTAAGTCACCAATATAAATAAAAATTTCAGAGATGAAATTTATATCAAAAATAAGACACCATCCTATTACTATCATACCTGTTTCGACATACCTCCTATAAGTTATCTAAATCCTTACTAAACTAGTCCTTCTTTGTCCTAATGTCATCCTAAAGCGTTCTAAAAGGTATCATAAAACTGTCCTAGTTATGACATCATTAAGATATCTGCAGGTGGAACATTCTAACACGCAGATGACATCCGTAGGACATTTAGCGGTAAATGTAGGACTTCCTCTGGAAGTCACAGAATCCTAAAGATGACAACTTTAGGATGTCATAACGAAGTCAATGTGCTGTATGGGTTGATACTTTTCTCTCGGCAGGTAATCGCAGTCTGTTTGTTATAATCAAAATAAATACGGTAACGAAAAAAACTACAACAAAGAAACCTATGGTTAAAAAAAAGTCATTTTTTCTCTAATTAGATAATTCATAAAGCCTAAACCTCTAAAAAATAGTATAANCGTGGAGATTATGTCAGTGAGATGATTGTGCTTGAAGGTTCAGAGCCAGTTTCTTAACGATCGGTTCAATTTATTTCGCGAGGTGAAGATGTTTCCTCGTTTTTTCTTTTTTGCGACTAGATCCATCACAACACTGAATCTTTGTTTGACAAGGTAGGAGGAAGGGAAAGCAATTAAAAAATTTTTGAAGATAGTCTACAGTCTAGGGTAGAAGCGACCTATGTTGCCTTGAAGCCAAAATTCTGTGAGCTGATCACTATTTCAAAGTTTCCTTAGTTGAAAGTTCGACCAATTCCTTTTTGAATCTGAACCTCTGCTGTTTCATTCTTCACAAAAGGGT